GGGCCGCCGGGGGACACCCCGTGCCCCGCACTGCCCCAGAGCAGGCCTCTGCGCGCCCTGGCCCGGCTCCTTCCCCCGTGCCCGCCGGGTGTCCCTCGGGCGGGTCCTGGATGTCCAGCCGCGCTGGAAGAGCCTGGCGCCGTGCCTTGTCCTCTTCACTCCCTTCCCAGGCCTCTCCCTTTCCTGGAGGCTGCCCGGGCCGTCAGGCAGGTGCCGCAAGCTTCCCACACGCAGGAAAGAGGGAGCCATAAAGTCCCGTGGCAGCAGCCGTGCTGGGGAAGCCACTAGCGGAGGATGCTTTGGATGAAACAGGAAACGGGCTTGGTTTGAAACTGGACCGGCGCACGCTGGGTCCTGGAAACCGAATCCGAGCGGGCCCAGGCGTCGGCAACTGCAGGCACCGGCCTGGGCTGAAACCTCGATTTGCTGGGAGGAAATGAAGGCGCTTCTGGCAGTGATTGTGTCTGAGCACGTCCTTTGGGCAACGAGGGGGGAGGACGTGCTTTGAAAAACCTAGGCCCTGCGGAGCCGAGCCAGCAACGCACAGACAGCCCGGGGGTCTGGCTACGCCGGTCCCCTCCCTCACTTCCTCGCTGCTCAGAGCACGAGCACGCCCAGGACGAGTGCGAGCGGGGGACGCTTCGCTTACTCTCCTATCCGCGTATCTGTATCTGTAAGGATTTATACACTTATCTATATAACTGTCTTGCTGAATCGCTTATTCTCTTATCTGAATATATAGACTGATAGATATACCGACCGACCGTGATCGAGTGCCTGACCGACCGATCGAGATGGATCAATTGGCATAGGTCAATCACTCAATCGATCGGCACTGCTCGATTGCTCAACACAGCTCGATCGACCCACCAATCGACACCCCTCGACTGGTCGAACATGGCTCGCTCGGTCGACTGAATGGACACGGCTCGCTTGGCCGATCCATCGATGGAATCGGCATGGCTCGGGCGACCGACCAACCGACGTGCCTCGATCAGTCAGTCAGTCGATCGATCGATCCACATGGCTCGATTGGTCGTCCATGGAGATATAATTCAGATAAGAGAGTAAGTGATTCAGTAGAGAGTACAGGGGTCTAGGTTGTAGCTGTGCGGGTCTAAGGACTGAAGTATCTGTCAGTGTCTCGGCTGCATCCCTCGCTCAGTAGGAGAAATCCCATTCCCCCTGCCTGGCTGTGCTGATGTCAAGGCGAGCTTTGCCCCTGGCTGCATGGGGCGCGCTCCTCCTCGCCGTGCCGCGCGGGGCCCCCGAGCGCAGCCCCCCGCGCAGGAGTCCCTGCGGGCTCGAGGGGCAGCTCCGCCCAGGCTGAGCCCGCGCAGGGGCGGCTGCCCGCCCGCAGCCTCCGGGCCCTGCAGCATCCTCCCCGCAGGGAGTGCTCGGG